AACCTTTGAAAAAGTTTTCAGATCGAATTACTTTAGTATATAGCTTCCATACAAACTGAACACATATGTAGTTACTAAAAGAGATGCACCTGTGAAGGGTATATTAAGTTAACGTGTTTTCTTGTTTTTGCTGAAGGACTCGTGCAATTCAGCTTTAGGCATTTTCATTGTGCAAATTCTAAAAATTCAACCCCGATTATAAAACCAATGCTAAAATTTAAATAAAATCATTGAAATAAAGTGGAAGGCCTCTAGGAAAAACTGGCTCGAATTCATTCTGAGGTTTTCTAACAGCTGCTCTACGGAAGCATTTACCAAAAAATCCACGATCTACTGGCTATAGCATTCAAATATTATATAATTATGAATTATTAAGTTAATACATGTATGTATGTATGCTAAGCGATCACTTCCAATAAGCGCTATATTCTACTTGATTATTCTTATAAATAATATTATTTCATACATTATATTATAAAGCAGAGTCGCATTCACACATTTTGTCTATATTTCTATGTATGCATGTAACAAAGTCAACACAGATAAATATAAATCCTTTGAATATTTATAATTTTTGCCAACAAAGCGCAAAGTCATTCGCAAGAAAGTGTATTAATAGAGAATATAGCTTTCGCACCAAAGCGCAGCTACTATGATATATATATGCAGTACTAAGCATCAAGCAATAAAAGCGGTTCGTGTATTGGCTACTTTAGCTGATTAATATTGTATTATGAGAATGGAAGCATGAGGCAAGTGGAAAAATAAACCTGAATCAAATCAAAATGGAAACCAAACAGAGATCAGAAATTATATGAAAACCGAAGCCTTTGTGAGTATGTGTAAAGGTGTGGAACTCGGATAGTTTTTGCTGGTGATATTTGGGTTTAAGAATTGATTAGTGGCTGAATTGGGTTTTAGTATTATGTTGGTGTAGTTTTTGAGAAGTGAAGAAGTGAGCTGTAAATGGTGGCGAGCGGCATGTTGACTGACAGGAGTTATGACGAGTGGCATTGTGTGCAAGCAGGTTTTGGGTAGTTTGTAGACTGGAAAGCCAAAAGAGCTTTACAGCTTCCGTAGGCTGTGTCCACGGGTTCTACGTACACATTTCAAAAATATAGGTTTTACTTTGTGGTTGCAAAAAGCTTACAAAGTAAGTCAATTTCGATTTCAAGGGGAAAATAAATTGTTCGAAAATCACTACAAATAGAATGGAAAACAAACCGCTAAAAACGTAACGAGCATCATCAAAATAAGAGCTACAATAAGAAAATGAAATAACACTGCATAAAAAAGTATTTGCAGGGCTGTGGAAAGGGGCAATGTAAACAAATTTAATGAGGAAACTGATAACTTTATACAAATACAAACAAGCAAACTAGGAGACAGAGAAGAGAGAGAGAAAAAGAAATGAGACAAGCGGAAGACACAGTTAAAAGAGAGTAAACTAATATTTTACAAGCCTCTAATTGGAGAGAAAGAGAAAGAAAACGGCACGATGGCATAAATGAACGAAAAATTATTCACACGGGACACAGGGTGGTGCATGGCGGAGCGAACTCGAGATTAAGGAGCATTCTGCAGATGCTTTGGAAGTAAGTAAGTATGAGGAAAGTATTTTTTTCGAAAACGTGTGATTTATCGCTGAACAAAAGTGATGTAATGTGTAAATCTGCATCGAACGTTTGGTGAAAGTGACACAAGATGTCTTCAAAGTAAAAAAACTGTGGTGAGAGGAGGTAAGTGAACTGAAATAGAGCAATCATGGAAGGAATTAAACATGGCGGACCTGAACTGCTCGAGACGTCTTGCTGCGGCACCGGCAATCCACCGCTGCGTTGCTGCGCCAGCTCCTGCTGCTGCAACTGCACACCCAGTATCGGCACTGGCACCGGCGGCGGCCGCACGCCCCGTCCTGCGCGCTGCGCCGCCGCCACGGCCGTGGCTGCTATCGCGGAGAGGCCGCCCGTACTGCTGCTGCTGCCCGGACCGCCGATGATGCCGGTACGTTCCGGATAGTCGGGCACATTGACAATCTGTATGTCGGGTCCATCCGGTTTGCTGCTACCTTGGACGGATTTGTCGGCGCTGGCGGCTACTACGCCGGTTCCCGTCGTGGACGCTGCAATATTCGCGGACTTAAGTTCGCCGGTTTGTTTGATTACGCGATAGATTTGATCAATATCTGTGAACTCTATTCGAGAAATGTTTGGAAATTTTGCAAAATGTTGGTTCGTAAAGTTTCGGCACGAAGTGGGGTGGGCGTGGCCATTTCGTAAGTTGGGTTTTAATTTTGTGGTTGCAGTCGTTCGCATTTTGGTCGTCAGCAATGAAGCGGGTATGGTGTCGGTTGCCAATTAGCGTTGGTCCAGTATATATTTGTAGGATTTTTGGTGAGTTTTTCAGTTCAGTGTCAGTTTTGCCCAAATAAAACGTCGTTTGTGATATAAAAATAAAAATTGTATGAGGGGTTTATGAAGAATTTGACTCACGATCGAATGAAAGTATAAACATTAATTTCGCTCCTTCTTAACAAATTTTTCAAACACATAAGGTTCCGAGTAATTGAATGCAAATTGAGGAATAGTTTTCTGCAAATTTGATTAGATATTCATACTTAGCTTAAAGATACCAAAGAGATAAGTTATATTATGAATGATTTCATTACCGCATATCGCCCTCTATGAATTCTAAAAAGACTCTAATAATATTTGATGATCGCTAAACCCCTTTAAGATTACAACAAGCAAATTATTTTCAAACAATAATTTTCATAAAAGTGGTTTAAAATTTGTGAAACCGATTGTTGTTTTATTTTTAAGAGTAAGGGCTATGAATAACGGGTGTTTTGTGGCCTGTCATACTATCGAGATAGCTTGACTCTTGTGAGTATTAATTTATTAGAAAAAGTAAGGAAATATTTATCCTTAATTACCATGACTGATATTTTTTATTTACACCCGCTAATGAAAATTGTGTTTTTTATGATTAGATTTAAATATTCGTAGGTTGGTTAATATCAACAGGGACATCGCGAAAATTATAACTGGGTTTATGGCATAGAAGTGAGCTTAAATCAGGAGGTAAGTTCGATGAGTTTCTTTATAGTTCTTATGATCAGAGTACTCTAATTCATCGCTCTCATCTTTTCTCTCTCGATTAGCTACTTGAAATTGTTTTACGTCATTATGATAAAAGAAATGCTAGCGAGTAAGAAACACTTCTAATGATCAACTACTCAAAACACTACAAAAATTGTGCCTGGAAGAGTGATCCTAAGATTGTGTTGGTGTACTGAACGAGCCGACGAACCAAAACACTTTCTTATTTCATTGATCGGATGCAAAAAAGCCTTCTCAAATACCACAGTCGGCGCCAAAGTAGAAGTGCTGTGATTGGTTTCGGTTTTCAGCTCGGCGAGTTTTCGTCTTTTTCGTTTCTGTTTGTGTTCCGTGTTTGTGTTTGCATGTGGTTGTTGTGTTTTGTATAATTAAACAACAACAAAATTAATGAAAATAACTTAATGCCTAATTTTTAAATACAAAAACAAAATTAAAATAATCTTAGCGCGACACCCAGCAGGAAAGACAGCCGGTATTACTTTCGTACGTCATTGTTGCAACTGCTCCGAATTAATGGTATTTTCCTTTTGTCGTGAAAAAGGCTGAAATGAATGAAATTTAATTGAAATATTTGCCGACGAATTCTGTCCAAAGTAAGCCAATTGAAAAAAGGCTACTAAGTGAAGCTTGATTTCCCATTAGGAAGTCGTGCCTTTTAAATGTGGCAGCAATACAAATAATAGCCTCTCCGCACAGGGGTCACAGAGGTCACAGGAGTTAATTGAGCAATTAATCAGCCTTTAAGCGCTTAAATCGCAAATTTAGATCGATTTCCTACTAAATATAAACCGTTTTTTGCTACATTAATTTTTAGTTGAATTCAAATCTAGTTGAAACTGAAATGCAAATCTGCGGGTTCTTGTCCAGGCTTATGCATTTGGTTGTATGCATTGATAAAATAGCAATCAGCTGATGAATATTAATCATTAGAAAAGGTACAAAATGAAGAACACAAGGAGTATAACAGCTGAGCGTTCATCGAGTACCCGGGTGTGCGAAAGGCAAAACTGGTTTCTCATTTATAATATATGTAAATATAGTAAATTAATTTGGCTGTTCATAAAGTTTTGTGGTCGACCTTAACACCTTTAGAGCAGTAAGTCGCTCAGCCAACTACCGATCGTTAGTGGCTGCTTTTCCACTGGGCGGCGCCGTGTGGTAACTACGAGTGTATAGATATAGATATACATATGTATGTCTGGCCCGAGTGCCATGATTATGAGATGATTGGTGGTATGAGCGCAATTTGAATAATATTCGGATGACGTACTGGCGATGATTAATTTCAATAAGACATGCTATGCCAATCTAAGCAACACAGTATACTAGACTTTATTCAATTTGTACCAGAACTATTGGATTACTTATCAATTTGGAAACTAAAACTAAAGCTCGAAAGCAATGGCCAAACATTTAAACATAAACTTGAAATTATATAATGTACATACGCTTATATATATATATAGATCTATATGCGCCAACTAAAGCAAGCACACGGTTGCATTTTTGCTCTTTGCTTTCGTAGCTACTTCGTGTTTCTGGCGTACGAGCACATTTGCACGATCACAACCGATGAATATTTATTTAAATATACGAGTAAATATATATGTATGTGTATATAGCGATAATGGGGTGTGACTTCGGTCATAATTTGGGTGTTTGTCATTCAGCGAGCCAATCGATTCTGTTTGTGAGTGTGTGTGTATGCAGCACCTAAGGATGTACGCAATCAAAACAAAGCTAATTACTCTGCAATAATAATTTCTACGATAAAGTATTCTTCTCGTTTTATGCTCGTTATGCTTTGCTATTGTGTAATCATCTAATTTTTTGTTTTTGTTTTTTGGTTTTTTTAATTGCTGATTTTCTTTCGTATACCTAATTGCGCGATGCGATCGATGAACGGCACTTTCTGGCGGAATTTTCGATTTCCGATTGTTTGATTTGCATTGGGCGACGCCGGCAACGCGTTCTCTTCGTCGGCCAGTGTTTGCTGTTGTTGCTGTGGTAGCTTTGATTGTAGCGCGAGTGGCGGTGGCGGCGTTGGCGCCCTTATGCCCTCCTCAGCCGGTCCTTGAATATTGCAATTGATGGAATTTTGTACTTAGTTTAGTATCACACGGATGATTCTGAGTATTTTTGCTTTTTGCAAGGGAAATGTCATCCGCCTGACATGGAGTGTATAAGAGGCAATTCGCTGGGACGATTACGAACGATTTAAGTGACCTGGTGTGGCTCCAGAGATATTTACCGCCGTTTAATCAACATTTACCCAAGAAAAGCAAACTTTTCAATATTTTAATACTTAAAATTGATTTAATTTGATCGTTGTTTAACAGTTATTCGAATAAAAAGTCGTAAACAAATGAAACCGTTAATAATTTTTATTTGAATGGATCTGAGTATTCATTCCTCCTCATCAAATTGCTTTAAAGAAACCGAATGACTCTTTTCCATACCTTTGGTGGCGTTCTTTCGGCCGATCGCTTAAATCATTCGTTTTTTTATTTTGCTTTCCAATACTAAGTTCATGAAAAACTAATAAAATTTTTTTTGTTTTCTAAGAAATTAGTTCGTGCATGAGATTTGTAATCAGTTCAATCGAAAATATAAATCAGAATAAGAAACGAGACAAAAATTCGAGTGTATGTTTGGCGTATAACTGTAAGATATATATTTTTGTGCAAGAATTTTCTTGGATCCTAAAGTCACTACTACAAGCGCGCAACTTTCCACGTTTCTCGAAATCAAATTTCAACATTTTGTCCCTAAGTATTTACAGTTAGTTTGACAGCGCAGTGACTCCGAGTGAAATGTTTTATGAACGCGCGTTGTCTGTGCGCTTTCATTCAACTGTTTCCGCTGAAATTGGCTGCCAAGTGCGCTACAACTTCTTGGCCGAGCAGTTTGAGCTCACAGTTTCCTCTCCGTTTCCACTTTTTGCTCGCAAAGGCAACTTAGTTGCATGTGTTGCACGGCTGCCGTGCTGCCAAGCGCACAAAAGCGTCAATCAGCAGCAAATCAGATTGTCACTCATCAGAACTCATACGCCAACACTCTCCTAACATATCTATCTATGTACTTCATGGTGAAGAGCATTTTCTAGCTAAATTTAAGTGTGTCGAGTGTGAAATGGTTGAAGGGAGTGTTTGAGGATCCAATTGGCAATGCGATAAAGTTGCTGCTACGAAACTCAATCAAAATTGAAAGGCGTGAGTTTAACAGTCGAATCAAAGCCGCTTTTGTGGCTTCTTTCGTTGCGCCCGAGCTCCTTGCTTAACGCATATTTGCTGGGATTAGAGGCCTCTAGTCTTGAAAGATATATTTTCATAAAATATGTTCTCATGCTGAAACTCAAAAGCAACATTATGTTACCGGCGTTGTTGTCTTGCATCTATTTCTTCTAGCGTTTTTACAATTCTACTGCTCTGAGTGTGGGCAATGCAATTTCTTTAATGGCACTTAAACAAAGTAAATCAACAGCGATGGAGGAAAGGCAAGGCGCTCAAAAAGAATTCGATGGAAATGAACTTTTTACCAACTGAGTGCTCCACACGTCACCCCTGGCCCCGCCCTCGACGTCCATTGCATGGGTAAATGCTCAGCAATCAATCCGGCACTTGAACGCGCCTCGTCTTTTACAATTATAATGCAAATAAGAAAGGACGAAAGAAAGGCGAGGAAGTTGTATCAAAAGTACACAACAAAGAAGGGGGAGGGGGTGGAGGAGGCAAGGCAAATAATGTTGCAATAAGAAATTGCAATTGCTCAAAGTTGTCTTTGGAAGAAAAATAAAGCAGAACAGATTGGATTCCGATTGTTTCTTGTTGCAAGTAAGTACATGTGGCTGGGTAAACAATGAGAGAAATCAGTTGCCTCCGCTTCGCACCGGCTTCGTGGCAGGCATGCCCTTCTGCAAGGCAAAGCCTTAGAAATTCATGTTTTTTCGGTTTTATTTTCTATCTTTCGCTTGCGATTGTAACGGTAAATATTGCCGGCATATGACAATGCAAATTGAAAGGAAAGCCTAGAAGAGAGCGGAGCGCGTTTCGCTAGTGGAAAGCGATGCAAATTTTATAAGTATGCAACCGATGGGAAATATGTCAAATACAATTGAGGGCTTGAGTTTCTTTCGATTAAAAATTTGCCTGGGCAAACATTCAAATGAGTATAAACTTGATAAACCTGATTGTAAATTCATTGCTCAGTGAATCAATTTGAGTTCGATAAGCAATGTAGCTGCACTCGGTGGTAATTCTTCTTTCAGATAAAGGATGAGGAAACCTAAGCTCAAGTTGTATCTTCTATGACGTTGCTATCTCCATGGACTTAATACGAGCAAAGTAAAGTGCATTGCTTTACACCTTATGCGATTACCCACGGGAACTTCTATAATGTTGCTGGAATCTTTGTTTGTTAGTCCCTACACTTGAGTTGAATAGTCACTTAGACCTCTCCATAGCTGTGTCTTTCGATTCGACTTATATTTATGTTCTAGAGTAGGAATACTCAGGTTTGGTTACTAATATTTGATCCACGGGTGTAAGAGATATGAGAACTTAGTGTTCAAAATACTCAGTTATCTGACAAATAGAAAAAAAAAGTTGTTATTAGATTGGTGATGGAGTTATCATTAGTCGTTACGAACATTTATATGACAGCTCCTTATGTGTTGATGGCCTCAGATTTATCTTTTTACTTATTCTTATTGGAAGAAAATGTTTTATATTTATTACAGTGTTCGTTTATAGATCTCAGGCATACAGTTTCCAAGACCCGTATGCACTTCTAACCTACAATTCGATGTAAACACATAATGGGAAGAGTAACATTAAAGTGGGTTTAGGATACCGTGTGAGGGCACTCAACTAAGTAGTAGAGTTTCTAAAAGTTTTGATAGATTTTGGCTAATTTCTAAGCTAAGCTATAATTCAGATTAGAATTAACAAACAATAGTAAAAGAGTTATATTTTCAAAACAAAAAAATTGCCGATTAACATAATGAAAGGAAAACCAAAGGTAAGAGAGTGTGAAAATTTTGGGAAAAAAAGACATAACCTTCAAAAAATTCTTGTTTTGTGCAAATAATGTATTGGAAAAGAGCTGAAGAAATCATGAAACATTCGAAACTTTTTGAGAAAAACTATGAAGCTCTATGTCACACAACCCTAAATCTTCAAGAGGAAACCGCGCCGCCTATTGGCTGGGGTATACTGCGCCTTTGGACTCGAGGACCCCAACGGGGCATAAGCTCGCTACTTTATTTCTTGCTCGTTTAGTTGTTATTGTTGTAACAGCTTTTGTCTACTCATTCAAAAATACGCTGTTTTTCGTACAACAACAAACCGCCCTTTTAAACCCCCCGCTACGATTAAGCAAATATTAGTGCAATATATCAGTGCAGGTGTCGGCAATCAACATTGGCAACGTTCAGAACTCACTTTCATCCTCGACATCGACGCGGTTCTCCAGCTCCGAAGTGCTCTTCTGTCGGCGCAATAGCTTCTGCTTCGGCTGGCAGCGCGGCAGTTGCGATGCGCAGTCGCCATGAGCGTTCAGTTTGCAAATGCGGCAGCGTAGTCCCTGACGTGTGTGGCCTGCAGGGAAACAAATTTTATTTTAGATCGAGTTGTATGCCTTAGCATAAGTAAGTAATGGTAGTTATATGTGTGCGCATGCGCAATGGCTTACCTCGTAATATTTGTGAGCAGACATCGCAAGCGGTTATCTTCTTGTAGGTATACTCCTGCAGGTGGTGGCTGCCATCCTCGTTAGGGCGCAGCGGCTGTGAGGACGAGCCGGCAGCTCCATTGCGCCTAAATTGTCGAGCAAATCACAAGAGAATAGAAGCAGCATTAGTGAATATATAACATATGTTCGAAAAATATGGACCTCGCAAACGACTGGACAAATGAGTGTGAATAAAGCGATAAACAGATAAAAAGAAATGGAGGACAAAAACGATGAAAAAATTCAATTAAACTAACAAGTTTAGCTTAGAATGAAGGCACTTAACCAATAGTAATCGAGAGCAACATATAATGAAGTCGAAAACGATATAGAATTTAAAAACAACAGGAGCTTGACAAAAGATCCTCAGAAGAGACTCTCATATTTCATAATCACAAGTACAAAATCGAGTATCATTTTTTCTCTACTTTTCATTTTAAGTTGAAAACTTGAAAGCAAGCTAAGCTACGGCTACGCTGTTGGTTGTTTCCATTTCATCCATATGATCACCACAAGGCAAGCCTGGTTCACGAAGCCCCGTAATATGCACTCAGGATACTGAGTTTGCCAAAGAAATGTATTGGCTTTACGAAGTCAAGTTATGAAATCCATTGCACATATTTGTCTTACTTTTAAAAACGGTATGGACTTCAACTTATAAAATATGTGTGCTCTGTTACGTATACGCCATGACACACTTATGTACCAAAGCGGGTGCACGTAAGCTCAGGGTTTTTGCGACGACTGTCGGGCACAGGACGATCGATCAATTAGCTTGCAAAGTGAATGGGGATTTAAAATAACGGATGAGTGAGGAAATAAGAGCCAATCACACACATACAACAATAACAACAATATGAGAATTGCAAACAATAGCAAGTGGAAGCGAAAAAAATGCTGCAAACAGAGACAGCGCGAAATGAAATGAAGCAGTTCCAGGAGCGGCGAAACTCTTCTAGAAACGGCAGCAGCAACAACAGTGGCAATGATAATTGTTAAACTGACAAATTGGCCAGCGAGTGGAAAAAAGTAAAGTGGAAATGTGGCGCGTTGCCACCGGCGCCCGTCCGTGGAGCAGCGCGTCGTATGCTTCCTGAAAGCGTGTAAACGCATCGGTGAATGCGAAATGTCATTTACTTGTATCAGCGTGTGCGTGTGTGTGTGCCAGCGATGTGTTTGCGTGTCATGTTAACAAACAATATCCAATTACTGATTGCCTATCTGCGCTCACACACACATTCACACATATTCACGTATACAAAAAAGTGCAAGTGGCAACAGATCAAGGCATTCGTGTGTGTATTTAAGTATGGCTGTGTGTGTTTGGACGCCCGTCTGCAATTATTGACTCTGCGATGCAGCGTGTTGCGTCTCAAATACATACATACATACATGTATGTAAGTATTGTATATGTGAAACTATGCGTTTACTAAGGCATTGTGCATGCTCCACGCTGATTTTATCCTCCTGACGCCGCAATAATTTTACCAATATTGCCACATATGCACCAAATAAAGACAAAAGAAACGAAGTTGATTGCTTTAGTTTACAATCTTTTGACATTTCCAAAAGATATGATAATAATTTGTTTAAGGACCTAAGGGCAAATTAAATCAGTAGCTTAAGAGTAATGGATTACTAACTAGAAAATAAGACGATCCAGTTAGTATAGAATTGGTTACCTAAAAAATGGACAATGAACAAATGGTTGCAAATTCAGGATTGGCGCMTCAAAGGTTACGCTGGTCGAAAGATTGATCTTGCATTTTACTGTCAACAACTGATGAGATTGAAGCAGGCAATCAGAAAAACGGAAAGAGCTGATCGACAGAAAGGGATGGTCAGTCTTCCATCAGGACAACGCTAGACCACACACATCTTCGATGACTCAGCGGGCTGGGAAGTTTTGATGCATCCACCATATGGCCCTGATCTTACACCATCGGACTACCATTTGTTTCGATCGATGCAGAACTTGCATAATGGAGTAAAGTTGGCTTCAAGAGAAGTCTATGAAAATCAAAAACCTTTTGCACTGATGGAATAAAATCTCTGGCGAGAACATGGCAAAGAGTGGGCGACCAAAACGGTACATATATTCTTCATTAAAATTAATCATAAGTAAAAAATCAGTTTGTTTATTTTTAGCTTAAAATGCCCCTTTAAATTTTATTTGTATATTTCCATGACCGTTATTCGTAAGTAAAGTAATTAAGAATTTAATGCATTTTGTCTTCGGTTGGGAGGCTTTATCGACTTGAGCTATTTGCGAGTTGAATTGAAAATTATATTTTTTTAAGTTTGAACTCATCATGCCATAAAAAGATAATTTAAATGAATTAATGAATTTATTCTCCGAGGCAGTTGTCAATTGCGAATGACAGTTGTTACACAAGTGACACAACATAATTGAATTGATAATTAATTCAATTGAAACAAATTAATTTTGCACCATTAGTTTACACTTGCCAGCTGAACAACTGTAAAATAACTGTTTTCCATATTACACTTCTTGTGCGGAAAATATGCTAGCGGAGAATTCTGAATTTAATATCTCTTTAAAATGAAATGCAAATAACTGCTCATTTGCGCATCCGCCCACATGCACACGCGCCCATCCTCGGGTATAACTGTATTGCGGCAGCGAAGTGTAAAAAATATTTCATTTCACTTTCGCTCAACACCCAAAAGATCTTGTTTTCATTGCCAATTACTTTCATACGCTTCCGCTTACATGAGCAATAACAATTTATTTAACCATAATGCTCGCACACATTCACACACACACACGCAGGCACTGCCGCTGGTGTTATTTACGCTGTGTAAATGTGTGCGTAAAGCAATATTTATTGCACAAACACGCCTGCATATGCGCTGCGCATGTTTGTGCATGTCTGTGCATGTGCACGTGCGCTTGCTTATCATTAATTTGCTGGCATTTTACGCTCCGTGCACCGTGGCGTATGCGCAACCAATTTCGAACGCAGTTTATTCATTTTGCATTACTGCAGACACTCACTCACACACTTACAGGCACCCATGCGCACAAGTACACATACGCGTCCTTCCGTTGCTGACACGTTTTCCATTGTTGCTGCTGCTGTTGTTGCATTGGGCTTTGTACTGCTCATTGTCGGCCTCATAATGTTATTGTTGTTTGTGTTGTTGGTGTTGTTTTTTCTTTATTATTATTGTAATTGTTGCGCGCTCTTGTTGTTATTGTTTGATGTCTCTTCATTTGCATTGTTACCGCAATCTTCATTTCATGTATGCGTTATTGTTGTTGTTGCAAATTCATAACTGTAGTTTTTATCTAGTTAGATGCGCCTTGTCCGCCGCTTTGTTTACACGCCGCTCTCCATTCACAAAGCGCGTTCCTAAACGGGTGCAGCAGCTCGATCTCAGCCGATTATACACACACACACACCCGAGGAACACAAGAGGCACACGTATGCATGTGTGCGTGTGTGAGTTGACGGGCGCTCGGTCATTGGTCCATTTCGGTGAGTCCGTTCGTCTGCGAACGAGTTGTCTAATTGTTGTTGTTGTTTTTTATGTTTCATTGTTGATGTTTGCATTGCATTGTTTGCTCGTTGAATTGGAGCTTCGGCAACGAAATATGAATAAACTGAAACAAACGCTGCCAAATGCGTATTTGCAAACTCATTTACCCAGCGAAAAATGGCGGGACTTGATGTGAGCACGTTCTAGTCCGCAACTAGTACGATGTAGGCCACTTTGTACTGATGGCTTCGACTGAGAATTGGAGAACTTACATTTTTTGTCTCCGTGGAACCTTATTATCACAGAAAAGTGATTTGAGGACTATCATTTGCTCTCCTTATAACACTAACGGCATTTGATGTCGGAACAGACTGTCACCATTTACTCCAACTCGTCAACGAAACTTCTCTATGAAACGAACATGTTGGCATTATAAATGAGCAGTTCAAAGTGTAGTCTTTTCAGTTGAACGTCGACTAATCTCCGACTAGTGGAATGCACTTGCCACCATTTGCACGCCAACACACACACCTAAAGTACTAAACTAACTCGATGTGTACACAAATTCTAAGCGCTTCTAAATTTATTACAAAATTAAATAAATTTATTCGCAAAATGCCAGCCAAACACGCGTTGGTATATAAAATATTCATATGCGTATTTGGATGTATGTGTGAGGCATATGTTGTTTTGATGTCCGTCTGGCTTGTAGCGTATTTACTTGGCCATTCATGCGCGCCTTGTTACCCAGCAATTTGGATATTTATTCTCTGTTTTATCTGCAACTCTCACTTGCCTTGCAACCATAGAGACTGAGCACTTTTAATGAGTCTTAGAGAGAGTGAAATGGAAATTTGAAACATTTAAGGACCCAACTTCTCATGGAACTCATCGCCTTCAAAAAGTTTGAGCATTATTTCTTGGATTCCCAAGTTTCTGTGCAAAGAGAGTGTGAGTCTGAGCTTCTGTGAATGGCGGAAATTTGATATTTTTGCATTATTTATATTAATAAAGTCGATCTATTGCACTTAGAATTGCCATCAATAAATTATCTTGCAGTGCTGATCTCCTTAAGGGAACTAACGAAGTAAGTTTTGGGTTAAACCTCAACTCTACATTGATTACACTTGAGGCTTTGTAGTGAAATTCCAACCATTCGATTGACTAAATGAGGACAGACCTTGAGAACACAAGCTTACCACGATTGAATCAGAATCTACAACGAGGCATTCAGAAATTTTTCGCTAATAATCTCGATCGTTTACCCAATAGCTATTTATAGTTTTGCACGAGCACAGAGGAACTTTTTCCTGCTTTCTACTTGCTCTCGAGCACCAGTCCCCTTGTGGAAACCCCAATCAGGTTGCCATAAAATTTACACGTAAAAATTACAAAAGCAAAACTTCAAGAAACTTCGAAAAACTCAAGAAACTGAAAAGCGAAAATGTAGAAGACTTAAATAAACTTGCAAAATGTTTTGAACGAAAATGCGAAAAAATAAGTAAATACAGTGAAGGAATTATTAGGTATAGTATATGCTTATAAGAGAGATTCCAATATAATTGTAGCAAATTCCTATGGAATTCTAAAGTATAATGGAAACAAGCGACGCTTGTGACGTCGGTTAGCACACACACGTACTACCTACGAACATGAGTTGTACATGAGTCCTGGCTATGAAAAATTCAAGAGAAATACGAAATAATTCAGCATTGGCAAATATGCTCGTCTAAATGTTGTCTAAATAAATATATCCAAGCATAATATGTACAAGAGGTGGGTGTGTTGGAGGAGGAGCAGCTCTTCGTAAGCGATTTGGGGGCGAAGGAGATGCGAGGGTTGGGCGTGGATGTATTTCTACTGAAATATTTTAACATTTTTAATAAATCGCTTTAGTTGGATAAATGGGTAACTGTTAATGTGTGTCTAACTAGAGTGTAGGAGATAAATTCCAACATTACAAACATACTTGCGGTTTTTGTTTTAAGACAACTACTGACATAACTATATACTTTACATACACACAAACTTCCGAAAGGAAAACCAAATGTTGGATGTTTTAATATTTTTAATTCAGAATTATTTGCACGTTGTTGGTAGGAGATGGAGTGGAAATGAACTAGAAGCTTATATACACCAGTGCGGGTCTCTGTCAGTTTAGAATATTTCGAGCTTACCCTGGAACACTTCCTCGCATTGAGATTGAATGTAGCGTTTGCAAAGTTAGTAGAAGTTGATATATAGGTTCCAAAGGGTGGTGCAATTACGGAACATCACAGAAAAAGTAAGGGCTTGAGAGTTTGGCCGAATCCACATCTTGACTCTGATCATTTCATAAACCCCCGGTCGGCGTATAAGAGTAGAAAAATGTGAGTGGGACCCTCAGCTTCTCGGAAGAGTTTAAAAAATTATAAACAGATGTGTCTGATCTGAAATTACTAAGGACAATGTTATATTCGAGTTTCGAAATGTTGGCTTTGCAAAGCGAAGGGCACGTGAAGTGCTTCTCTGCATGTGGCGAAGCTTTTGCTTCGAAGATTTACTGCAGATACGCCCTTCCTGCTCGTAATATTAATTTTTCATTCTATTGAATATGTGGGGCCCGAAATGAGAAGCCATCTGCGATTTATGCAGCATCTATTCGCATAAATCCTTTAAGCAAGCAAAATATATTTCCAAATTCAGTTCTTTGTTTGTTCGCTGTTTGTTGTTGTTTGCGTACAAATGTATGTGCTCATATTGCTCGTATTTGCTTGTGGCAAACAAACAGACAGCTGAAGCAGTCGAGTAAAAAGCAAACGAAAACGCACATGTGTACATATGCATGTGTGTATGTCCTCATGCAGGCGAATAAACAAAAAGCGATGAAAAAATTTTGAAAACTTTTTCGGGAAATGCGAAAACTTTTGTGATTTACTTTTGCTCCTTGGCTTCGGTACTTCTTCATTCTTCTGTCGCGTTGCCCACGCCGCCTGCGCTCGCTCGAGCGAGTCCAACTTTTAAGTGCCACCAACTCTGTGCCACTTTTTCATATTTGCCTTCTGCTTTGTCTTTCGAAACTGGCGCGCTCCGCTGTCCACTCACCGATTTCCGTGAATGTCGCGTTGACTGCGCTCTCACCTCCCCTCTCTCGTACGGAACTTAATATTTATGTTTGCAATTCAACATGTTGGATAATCCGTCTTTCCCCACTCTCGCTTAACGGTTTGGTGTCTGACTCCAAGTTTGAAGCTTTATGGAGTTGTTAAGTCTGCTCCAAAGCATTACAAATAAGAAAGACACGGTATATATTTTGAAAATGGGCTCACCACTTTCGGGCTTTTAGTTCATTGACTTGCGCTTCTAAACAAATATCATAAGCGGAAGGAGAAGGAAAAAAGAAATAATGAAAAAGGTGATGCTTGCAGTAAGGCTCCGCCTTTGTGTGAGGGCAGCTTTAGGGCACGAACATTGGAGACTATGCCAAACAAATGTGGTTTATGAAAGAAACTTTAAATATATATTTCCTAACTTCTGATATTTTTAATTTAATGTGCCGAAAATAGATTTCCAAAGTATTTCAACTAAAGACAGGACTGAAAACTTTCGAAAAGCTAAAAAGGGAGCTTCTACAAACTTGATCTCCTAAAATTAATATTAACTCCCGACTTCCATAAATTTTTAGTCAGACAGAAACTACTTTAAGTTCGAAAAAAAAACTGTAAATACAACTTTCTGCAAATTTTTTGTCTCTCTCTCACTTACTCTCATAACTGACGGAAATGTGTTCAAGTAAATTTGCAGGCAGAACTCAGCGATGTGTTCGATTATCCGTCGCCGCTAGTAAAACACACACCCACACTTACTTATATATTACGTAGGTATGTATATTTATATGCATAAGCAATAATGAAGGCAACAAAGGATCAAAAAGGAGTTTGTCATTTCAATTAAACTATTTCAAGAACTACTATATTTACATGGGTCAAAATTTGGTGGGGGGCTACTGGAACTACTCATTTTCTAAGGTCATACTTCTAACAGCAAATAACTTCGATGTGTGTGAGTGCAAATGTTTTTTTATTTATAAAGTTCAGAAAGTGGGAACAATTCAGGACATTAGACAATACATATGATTATAAAGCAACAACAAATACTTAAGCTTAGGAGGAAATGTTTAGGGGATGGGAGAGAAGTGACCACTCGCACATACAGACATACATATTTACAAAAAGGTGATCGAATTTGGAATTTGGAATTTTAAACTGTGTATATGATCATGGGAGTATCAAAGATCGTGTCAACCAATATTCCGGGAAGCATGCGTTATGAGTGCATCTCACACACCTCACACACAGGCACACACAGGTGCATGATTGATGGAGTTGTGTGCACGTCAAGGAAACAGAAATGATACTTGCAATAGGTTACAGAGTAGCTTCCTACTTCATCAACGAAAACTCTGGAAAATTGTGCATTTCATATATTTTGTTGTTTGTTTCATTACCTTAAGGTCAAGACAGTTGAGACGGCGTGATACATTTGATTTGGACGTGGTTGACTGGGTGGAGAGGTTTTGCAATAAACGATTTGCCGTATGGATATTTGATTTGTTTGTTTTGATTTTTTTAGAATTTTGTGTGATTTCGCATGACAAAGTTATTTCAGAAACGTTTTTGTTGATTTTGATTTGATTTGCGGTTCGGTTTAGGCAATGACAAAATGTATGCAACAAAATAATTGGATTATTCGATGTGTTAAATTAATTGTGAATTAATTGCGCAATAAAAGTATAAGCCAATGGCAATTAAGGTTATATGCTAAAATTATTCTATTTTGTGAATAATAAGAGTTTATAAAATATTCTAACTATATGGCTATAGATATTTTACCAAATATTTTTTAAAACTTTTATTTTAAACATTATTTATATTTATTGCTTAACTGCTAACCATAGTTTTATTTTAGGAACTTATTGCTAACCGAATGCTATGGGTATTGCTAACGGAATGTTATGGGAAGTTATATTGGGTAGTCGAAAAAGTATTTTCGTATTTCTATTCAAACTTCAACTTATTTTTTTATATTTATGCTAATAAATCTCAGCTTTCCAACACTGTGTAGAATGACACAAAGTGATTTATTGCACTGGAGATATACGACTGCAACGACATCTACAGTACCCCGCCAACCCATTGGAAACAGGGTAAATACCCAAAACGCTATCGCTCCACTTTTAAAAGATAAAAGTACATCCTACAGAAAAATAATAAAAAAAAATTGGAATGAGTGAAGCTACTGTTACTCGAGTAGCGAAAATTGTGCACGCATTCAAATATTGCATGGTGATAACTCAAACTTCATCAGAACTACACAAAGGTGGATTGAAACAAGGTAAACATAAAAAGTTATGAATGTCAACTATTCAACATGACTTCTCCTTAACAAATATTAACTTTAGCGACGAAGGCCGGCTAGAAGCAGTGACAGAAATCATTCAATTTTTGCGTCGTAGACCGTGTGAACGTTATGTGGTACAGAACTGCATTCGAACAACGGTAAAATATCCCCCCAATGTAATGACTTAGAGCTGCATATTGTTTTTGGAGGTCCTGGACCAATTTATTTTGTTGAGGGAACGATGACTAGTGAGCAGTACACCAATGTACTTCGAGATGGTTTTGTACTGTTGAACGACCCTTAAATCGAAGGTATATTCCCGAAAAAACCCCACAATAGCCCCACTCAAAGATAACATAAAGGATGCGTGCTAAATGAACCGGATTTAAAAATAATGATGATATTTGTTTGAATCGTTTGCCTCCAATAGTGAAGGCTGTTAATAAAAACAAAGGTTTGCCAATCAAATACTAAAAAAATTTTAGATTTCTCAATTTTATGAAAAGATGGTATTTCAAATAAATATTTTACAAAAAATTGCATTCACGCATCGTACCAACTTTTGGTTTATTTGACTCTGAACGCAAAACTGTATGAATAGTTGTTCCTGTTTCTAATTTGTTTGGCGGGGTACTGTATTAGCAAAATACGAAAAAACTTCTTCGACTACCCAATACTTTCTGGTTTAAAGCTTTTGTCACAAATATAAAGTTGATTTTTAATAACGCCTCGTGTATTTCAAAAAGTTATCTTCTTACTTTTACCATATTTTTAGTATGAGATCTTTCGGAACAAATTTGCGTTGTCCGAAGCCAATAAATTTACAAATTTGTGAAAATGAAACAATAATAAAAAATGTCCGCTAATTGCTTAATGAAAAATATCAAAAAAACCCATACTAGATACATGGAAAACGAAATTTGATACTGGAACACTTTAAAGAAGCAAAGATCAATTTGAGAAATAAATATCATAATCACAATAAATATTAACCCGTTAAAATTCAGTTGGATTATGTCTATGCTGCTTTTGAGAGACTACGGCACGAAAATATTCGCACTATTTGCATTTCCAACACTGCACTTGGGTTAATCATTTATTATTTAGAATGAGTGGAATTATTATTTTAGTTCGCAGCCAAACACAGACCGCTTCGATAATGTGTGAATGCAAATGAGGCTCGCACGCTCAGTGCGAAATGATTGCCATGCAAGCAGCGCTGCATTCGCAGCACCCTAATTACACACGTATGCACTTAATTGCTGTTCTATTTGTTGTTGTTTCGTTATTTGGTTGTTTAAGCTGAGCTTAGCGGCAAATCCAGCGTTTCGAACATTTCGCGATTACACCGATCCACTCAACTCAGTGCCACTAATAAAACGTAATTAAAAGTGAAAGTACACAAGTAAGTCAATTAGCTAACGGTGCTTAAGTGAATGCAATGGTTGCTGCTTTATTAGCTGACCTCTCACACGACTCCTACACATACATATCTGCATGCCACGGGTGGCGTGTGACTTGTGACCTCAAGCCATAATCACCAAATCGTCACACGTCGGGTCGCTCTGCATATATTTGGCTCGTTAGGGCGGCGCCTTCTAAGTGCCACAAGGTCGATTCTAATAAATTTGCTGAATGGAGACTCCGTGAGGCGTAATGACATTCTGCTAACCGCGTAACTTTGCAAGTCAAAAACTTTTCCAGCACAAAAACTTCTGATTTCAAACCAAGACATTACATAATGATTTGTTTGAGCAGTTAGTATGCACCCTAATGTGTGCAAAGGCAAGGTAAGCTTTCGATGTTGTTGCAAATTTAAGCCACAACAACACAGCACTTACTTATGCATGCAATGTGACACGCAAGGCAATTTGTCACTTGGGTTTTGCCGGGTTTTCCTGCCGTACATGTAACATTTCGCGCGTTCGCCGCACAGCCGCAGAGCCGCGGCCCAACGTCCGACTGTACTTACGGCGCAGCGCCGTTGCTTGACCTTAAACCGCACGCGGGCAGCTGATTTAGTCAATTGTTCGCGTGAATTTCAACCACCAAAAACAACATTAGCCATGCCACACTTGTGTGTGTGTGTAGAGATGGTGATGTTGTTGGTTCCGAATGCACACATCCACACACACTTAGGGAGAAAAATGAGCAAAGGTTTTTATTGTTTATCGTTTTTCCGCTGAAAAATAGAAGACACGCGACACGCGAGTTTCATTCATGCGAAAAAATCGCTGATTCGGCCGAATCGTGGGCACCGCGTTTTCAGGTTTTTCAGATGATGGCATATGCGAGCTTTACCGCGGTATTTGTGGCTTTAGCGAATGCCCGAAATTCTCCGGCGGAATTTATCACCCACAAAAGTTTGCGTAATTTTTGTCTGGCATATTTTTAAGAACTATTTTTCGGAAAATTCAAAATTGAAAGCAACTATATCCTTATTCCCTTCGATATGCAAAGCGTTTATTACCTGGTATATGTGGCCACACGACTAGCGCAATTATTATTATCTGAGGCAAGGAGACAACTAATACATGAAAGTAATTTGCCTCTGCTCTCCGGGGTCGAGAGATCTGCTTTGATTTGAAAACTGCCACAACTAGCAGATGCCAAAAGCGAAAATGCATCAATTTTGAGCAAATTTCATAGCCAAGCAATCGATGATGATAAAGGAGTCATGTCCTGCAGATGCCCGAGCAAACGCTTGCCAACTTGCTGTCGAATCACAAAAAACGGCAAAAGTTGCTCAAAACCTGAAAGCTGCGGTCGGTTGAAGCGCAAAAGCAAAAGCAAAACACTGCACGGCTGTGGGGATGGACGGACAGGAAAAGGTCAGATGTGGGCCAGAGTTTGCAAGCAATTTTTTTGCCAAAGTGAAAGGCTCTCCGCACACCCGCCTGCTGCAGAGCAGTGCGCAAAACAAACTTATTTGAATTTCAATCGCCAAAGCGATGCCGCCGCAAACAACCGCACGCTTCTCATTTGGCGCTGCGGCGGCGCGGCGAGGCGGCAAAGCAACCGCATTGAACTACTCATTAGTTAAATGTAACATTTGCAACATTTCCTCAACATTGGCCGCATTTCGCCCGCTGGCCGCTGTCCTCCCGCTCCTGCGCTCGCCGCTTAAAAACGGAGTGCCGAGCAATTGATGGCTTGTGTCGGAGGCAGGAAGCGGGAGGAGTGGCGCGGCATTAAATATTTACGGCGACGCGGATTAAATGGCGAACCCGCAGCGCGCCGTGTGCAATTGCAATAAGCGGGAATTTGCAAAGCGAAAACAGTAATAACAACAACAATGCGAGCAAGACTGGTTGTGTGTGTGTGTGTGTCTATGCCTGTAACAACCAAGGCGATTTCAATATTTTCCACATTTTGCCACATATTTAGCATCTGCCACAGTCACAGAGTTGGCGGCAACACGGCTGGTTTTCATTGTTGCAGATAGCTGCTGATGTCGTTTGACAGGATAGCGCCGCATACCAAATGCACTCGACACAAAAGCGACATGTTTCGTTGAGCGCCGGCAATCAGCGTTTTCATTGAACATTTTACTTTTTCTCTGCTCTGCTTTGATTTGCTTGCTTGGAAGCGGTAATATCTCAGCCACGCGGGCAGCGGCGCTGCTATTTGATGTGCTCAATGAAAGGCGCTGTTTACTGGTCAGCTCTTCCAACACAGCTCTTCCAACACGCGCACACTCCAGTACCGGCCGACTCCGCGCCACTTGGCATACTTCCGGGCGTTCAATGCGCCCACGAACACACTCGTCAATAGATCGCGGTGGCGACAGTGCTGTTGGCGGCGACGCTGAAAAATAATAATTTTCCATTGCAAATTTTACATCTCAATGATTACATAAGGCAAAGCAGCTCAGTAAATACATATGACCGACAGACACATGCCGCATGCCTCATATGCATGTGTGAGTTTTCCCTCTGTCGGTGCCCGTTTTGGTTGTTGGCTTCCCGTCTATCGATATGCCGTCACAGCTCTTCCTTTTTTCCTTTTCAAGGCCCAACTTGATGTGTAAGCGCAAAGTTTCGCAAATGAGAGAGTTCCAGTGCACTTGTGTGTGTGAATGTGTCGGCTGTGTGCAGCTCGGTATTTGTGTGAAGCATATGAATTTTTAAATTTTTTGCGGCAATTCTATTTTCATGTAACATTTGCTGTTTTATTTCCATTTTATTTTTATTTTTTTGTTTGCGTCCCGTTATGAAGCTGGCATTTTGAAATTCCCTGACGCGGCGCCAAACGGCCGCAATCAGTGCGAGTGCTCATCGGCCGTTTGGGGAAATCATTTAGTGTGAAATGAAAGTGTGCTCGGACTCCCCGCGCCACCCTGTGCCGGAGTGTGTGCCGGCTGCGGTCGCTACTGCTGATGTTGCAGCTCTGTGCCACAAACTTTTAGACAGCAATTTGCACTCGGTAAACTACTGAAATATGCAGCTGCCTGAATAATTTCCAATTTTTCTACAGAGTAGACAATTTTTATCTATTTTGTGGGCTTAGTTCATTTTTAACGAGCAACCGAGCGTGCAAACTTTTTTGCAGGCGGCATTTGGTTGCACCACTTTGATTCTTATAGTTACTCATTTAATTGTCTATCCAGCGTTGGATTCAGAGTGAAGCGCAGCCTCAGAGTAAAGTTTCTTGTTGATAGTCGAAATAATAACTATGAAGGGAGCATTCTTGACTTATATTGGCTAATCGGAAAAGTCTTTTCGTATTTTTAATCAAATCTAAAATTTTGTTATTTTAATTTTCTTTTGGTTAAATGAAGCTTCAAATCTCACCTTTCCAATACTATATGATTTGACACAATGTGGTTGTTAGCACTGGAGATATGCGACCGCAACGACATCTTTGACAAAATACGAAACGACATTTTCGACTACGCACTATGCATGTGAGTTTAAAACAAAAAGGAAATTTAATGTGAACGTCCAGCTTGTTATCAGCGAGCTGACCAATGAGCTTTTTGTAAGTAGCTCATTTTTTAATTACAATATATGTACATTATTATACGCGGTTACATACTTAAGTGTCGAAATTCATAGTTAACTTAAAGCTTCCTAGACCTACAGAGGTGTTCTTATAGCTAAGTACAAATACACAAGTCTTAACTAAAAATAAATATACTAGAAATGTGCACCATATTCTGAAAGCTGTCTCTTATAATTATATAAGACTTTAATGTGATCTGACTTAATCTAGGAATGCAAGTGAGAAAAGAGAGCTTTCGCTCTTGCTCTCTCAGAGTGCTTGTGAAGTGTATTTTGGAGGCACAGAGAGAGGGAGAGATCAATAGTTAAACTCACCTATCGGCGGGTGCTGAACCGGAAGCCGGCTTTAGGCTTCTAAATGCTTTCAGCCACTTTGTTTTCATCGATGGCGCGGTCGCGGCTGAAAGTTTACGCTCGGCGCGTGGCGAACCCGGATCAACTTTGCTCGCGTACAACTCTTTCTGCAAGTAGAAAAGAAAATTATTCAATTAATTGCGGTCGGTGTGGATAGTATTTTTTGAATACACCAAAAAGCACGCAAAAAATATCGACTTTTGTTCACTGCTCAACACTTTTACCAGAGAATGTTTGAATGAAGCAGTTTTTTTTAACTCAGATTGTTTCTTAATTATGGTGTTTAGTAGCCAGAGCTCGACTGACAACATTGCTTTCGGACGTTGACATGCACAAGCTGTAGTTCGCACATCCTCTTCAGAAATTAACATCGCTAGTTACTTTTCTATTCCAGCTCCACCTTAAACTGTTCGCTAAACCTTTTCTTAACATACCACTATAAGTTCTCCTCGTTAATAATACAACAAATTCAACCATTGTATAGCCATAATGAATCGGCGATGATCGCGTTCCAACCGAAAATTATTAAATTGAGTTGAAAAATCTATGATTGCCCCCAATTGCAGTACATTATTTAATATATGTATGTGTGTATCTGAAATTACACTGGTGTGCAAAACTGACAGTGAGCAACCTAATTTCTCATGATGCACCAACACAGCGTTTAATATCCTGCCGCCGAGTTGACGGCTGACTGAGCGCAGAAAAATAACTGTGAAATAATTTGAGAGGAAATAAAATTAATAATACACTTAGTCCGCAAAGCAGAGCTTGCAAACCCATCTGACAGCGGCATGAGTGTGTTGCAATGCGCTACTAGGTCGTGGAAAGAGGCCCAAGGGGATATGACACGTCACAACAGAATTGACAGCAGACAGCTGATGAAAATGAACGGAAGTAACAAACTGCCCGACTGACGAATACTTAGCGGGGCATTTCACATGGGCTCGGAACACCTGGCAAACAGGCGGACATGTCAAGCAAGTAAAAGTCAAAATCATTGAAGAACCGCAGGCGCTGGAAGAGAAGTGAAGCGCAGCAGTGTGTTTTATAGTCTGTAAATTTTCACGGCACTTAAGTCACACCACATTTCCTTTAATTGGCTTGCGTTTATATGCACATATTTACAGCGCCGGCGCCGGTTGTGACTTTAGCTGATATCAGATAACTTCAGTTTTCTTGCTCGAAGACGAAGTTACTTGGTGCTTTTAATAGTTTCAGTTTTTCTTGATAGTCTGGAGTAGCTCGAAAATTTACTAGGAGTTAATGAGTACTTGGATGTCCTTAATTTATTGCTTATAGGCGAACATCTCGAAAACACGCAGTACAGATTTTGTAAAAGCTGAAATCTTTGAAAAATCACTGAAAGTTTTGATGATGTGTCGATTTCCAAGGTTTTCATTGTTCACTATTGTCGATGCTGCAAAATTCTCCCACCTAAAGCGCTTTGAACTCTCCTTTTGGGCTCGGTGCTTGCTGACAAAGCCCCATTTGATTTGCTCAGCAAATATTGGAAATTCATCAGAACCCGCCAGCCAGCTGCCATCTAACCACAATACTCAAATTCAATACCTTTCCATGCGAATGCATTCGATTGTCTATTGGTGTGGTAAATTCCATTACATTCCACACCATTCCCGACCGCACCGGCTTCGTGCCATCGCCCTGAACATATCGACGCCTCAATGCGGGCTCCATGGGGCGACCGGTAGCTCGCTCGCTCTCGAGCTTCACCGCAGTGAGCATTTTTGCGCACGGAAATTGAAAAGGTGGTCAAGTGAAAATAATTTGGTTACATTACGAATTCAATCAACTGCAAATGTCGCAATCACCAGTGTATGGTTTGCACTGCATCGAATTTGTGTGTGTATGTGTGTGGGAGTGTCGTTCATGCGGCTGCTGGGTGTGCGCTGGTGAATGAGTGGGTGTGTTCAGCGTGTTGGACCACTCTCATACTGAGCGGAATTTCATGGAGCAGGAATTACTGGCATTGCCGACACTTAAAGCGCTTTCCAATTCACTGAATTGTTGGCGCTTGCAGCAAGTGCCTAACCTCAAAAGCTGCTATAGATAATGTTAACACTCATCTGGGCTTTGTTGTATCGTGTTAGTTTGGCACTGCAGTCATATACTTGTCAATTACTGATTCTGGATTTCAAACTATCTCGTTTTTCAAATAAAGGCCCTAATGGTTGATGATCTCTAATAGAAGTGAAAAATCGCTTTGAAAAGTGCGACCTTCAGTTCTATTAAATTCCATACCCAAATCTTATCATCACGAAGTGAATAAAATACCTCAAAATGTTGGCAAAGTACTTTTGTTGTTGTATCTAAAGCGTTATTTGCGGTGCCGGAAGCCGCGACTTCATTGTGCTTGTCGGCGTTTAATGACTGTTGTTATGCGCTTCCCACAAACATTAGAAGGAAAAGTTTTCGCTCACAAATAGCCGTACCCACACACACACACAAAAGAGCTTCGGGCGGAAGAGATGTCTTAAAGCCATAAAAAGAAAGCAAGCCGCGAAAACAATTGTGCAGTCTGCTCGAGAAGGCAGAGGCGTCGCGCGGCGGCACGACGAGAGTTTACCTTCGCATTTGCTGCTCGACTGCACAGCTAAAGACGCTTATCTTCGCAGCAAATTAAGTCGAGCGATTTACGCGCCGCTGTGTATGTAGACAAAGGCGCGCCAACACACACACACAATAAATATGGGAATGTGAGCAGAAATGCACAGACGCTGATATTTAGCCACGCAGAAGTATTTACGAATGCCGAGAAATGCGATTAGCGTTTCTTCCCAACTTTTATTTGCTTTTTCTTCAGTCAGGTTACGTATTGGCTGCGGCGTTGCGCGCAGAAAGTGTGCGGGGGAAAAGGGTGGTTGGGCTTGTCTGACTCCCCGCATTCGCCGCCGTCGATTTGCTGGTATTTTGTTGACTTCACTTGCTTTTGTTGCTGTTGTTGTAGCGCCTCAGCCACAGTTTTTATGCGAGATTACGACATAATTTGCATTCATGATGTCGGCTTAATTGCCGCAATTAGGCGCTGCGTTATGTTTTTATGGCGCGGCAAACAGCTCACACGACGCCTCCTGGCCCCCTTGGCTCCCTTAGCGCCTTCACTGTGTCGCGCGTTTGCCAAATGCGATGCTTACGATGTGGAAAACGCGCTGATAAACTTAATTGGCGTGCGTGGCGTATGAGTAACATTTAGACCGTGGCGCGCGCACATACACCACCGCATACACACCCCCACGCATGCATGAACATATTTCTCTGGTTAATTGGAAACATGATTAAATTTTGATTACAGATATGCACTACATATTCATGCGCCGTCAGTTGCAAGTGTCAGCTAAATGTTGCAGCATGCGCCCTTATTTGTATGCACTTAAATATTAACACTGTTTCACTTGTCATGCCAACTTAATTAATTAAATAAATTAAATAAATTTAAATATTAACAGGATCTCGAACTGGCAGCCAGGCAGCCAGTGGCCATGTCGCCGCAAACAACACGTTTTGTGGCATTAGGCAGCTCATTTGTTGCAATTAGTCGACAAGTGTCAAAGCCACGCGCCACACAATATAATTAATATTTAACTAGCACTGAACTCCACCACACCACACCATAGCATGGTTCATCGGTTCCACCAGACGCTGGTGGCGGACTGATGGCAGTGGCGAGTTTAATCGCGAAGGCAATAAATGTCAACTAAAATGCATTGGAAATTATGTTTTTCGGTGCTTTAATCAACCGCGCCGATAAGGCTTGAAGTTTTGCTTTCCGAAAGCAGAAAGGCGTTGCTCGCCGACTAATAGGAATATTTGCTTGAGTTTTAAAGGTTCAGAGCGCGAATTTATTAACTCTCCTCTGCCCATTTTGATTGAAATAGAAAGACGATTTGTACAACTACACAGAAATCGTCCTTCCACCAGTATTGGAAGAACCATAATAAAGACGCAGATGTTCATGTTTAGAGGCTCCCAAAGAACAGCCAAGGAAACACTCTGAAAGACAGTGGGACTTTTTGAGAAGAAAATTGTTAAAAAAATCGTGCAGATATTTTCAAATAAATACAGTTTTAGATGACGCACACTAGTTTGAGTGTAACTCTCATTTGCAAGCTCGCTCCCTCACGTTGTTGCCATTTGAAATTGAGTTCTATGCCTCCTGGACATTCACAACATCAATCATTGAAATGCGCCATGTTCCGCAAGTGGGCTGGCACATTCGTGATTGCATTTTGGCTGGGGCTTTTCATTCACATGCCACAGCTCCACGAGTGCTTAGCATGGTTCTCAGGACTGCGTGAGAGACAGACCGCTTGTCAGCTGCGCATTTGAAATGGGAGACGCGTATGTACCTGCATATTAGATAAATATTTAAGCAGTGTATACACATGCACTCACATCCCTGCTTATTATCTAAAATATCTAATTACTTTTCCGACTGAGTGCCAGTCAGATTCTTGCATTGTCGCCAGCATCTGCAGAGCCGTGTTCTGAATGTCCTTAACGACTGGAGCTGTAGCTCGTGGCAAGCGCTGTTGCTCATATTGCTTTTGTATATTAATTTTCGGAATTAATTTACCTTGCAGCTCCTCGCTAGTCCCACACCCTCCAACGCTCCTACAACCTCCACACACATGCATGTAGTGGGCCCATAATATGTTAGTTATGTTGCCGGCTGGGAAAACTTCGTATCTGCGCGTTGCAGTACTGGCCTAGTTATTATTTATTGTCGCCTGTGGCTCCTTGAAAGCGGCACAATCAGCCAGCCAGCCACCTAGCCAACTCTGTGCATTTGTGCCACCATAACGCTGCGGTTTAATGAAGGAAATTATGCGATGGATGCAATGAATAAGCGTTTGCGCCGCACTCGTACGTGTGTGTGAGGGTGTGCATGTGGTGGTTGTGGTGTGTGCATAATGAATGAATTAAGGCGAATATAATCTTATGCTTACGACTGCGCTGTGAATTTTCTGGTAATGACTGGATTATTAAATGTAAGATGCGCCGTCACAATGTATTATCTTAAGTTAGACAAATGGAGCGTGGCCACCAGTTTGCAGTTAGGAAATAGCTTTGGAAATCCAAAACTGCT